GGGAGGGGGAGAGTTGTCTATGTTATAATCACTTAAAATAAAATGGATAAAATCGGTTTGAAAAACATAGCACTTTGTACTTGGAATAACTAGATCACGTTTTAATAAATTTAAAAAATCTCTGTTTATGCAACTATTTGTGTGATTCATTCACAATGTAGAACATTGCACCTTACCTTCTTTTTCTTTTACAAAGCACTAAACCAATTACCAAGGTGGTTATCAAGGTCACCAAGAGGATAAGAGGCACAATGATGGCAATGCTTCCTAGAAAATAAATCAATGAATAAATGAAATAAATAAAACGAAGTAAAGATTGATATAACTAAACACTTTATTACACCAAATCACTTGACCATTGACATAATAAAAATATAGCTGAGCACCCATATTTATATTTCTGGTTCATACCCTTGTTACTGAAAAATCATTCTCCTATGAAATACTTGAATGGCTGGAAACGTTTTTTAGACAGCTTTCATTTAAACCTATTGCATTAAATGCCTTGAGATTTGAGATCTGACTTCGTTGTCAATCTGAGTTTTCTGAGTCTCACCACACACTTTACTTCCAATGATGCAAGTACATGCTGGTAACTACTTTTAAATCAACTATGGCTGAATACACATTTACACAGTGCACGAGTCACATTCCACCCTTAGTTTTGTTCCTTTAGTTATAAATAGTTTCTGGCCATGAGTACATGTGGCAAGTTAGATGACAGCCTGGACAAACAAAAGGGGCATCCGTGGTGTTTGATTTGGAGAGACATTAGCATAAATACTGGTTTCACAACTTACTTGAAAGGAGTCCTTGAATATGTTATTTAAACACTTTGAGCCTCATGCTCTTCACCAATAAAACAGAGACAAGAAGATCTACCATGCAGGGCTCTTAGCTAGAGCCAGCAAAATTAGAGGGGAAAGGGGATTCTCTTTCTCAAGTTCAGTTTCAGAACAGTTTCAACAAAACATTTTGGGGATTTGGCTTACGTTGTACATGTCAATTTTCCCCTTCTTTCATGTACATGAGAATGGTCTTGGGTTCTATCACTGATAGAACAGATCTTCAAAAGTGGTCAAAGAAACTTGGTCTTAGTTTGTATGCATCAGATCACAGGGGAAAAGCAAAATTGAGGAGAACCTTTGCCTTCCATTCCTAGATTGGCCATGAGGGTGATAAAATTTTTAGCCAGGAATTAGGAGGCAACAATACTCCTTTGCTGATAATGCGACCCACAGGAGAATACACCTAGGATTGTACGTCATATATGGCTAGAAGAAAACTGAAAACAAAAGTTGCCTGATAACAGGAGAGTATTAACTGGCTAATGTTAACTTTTCCAACAGATAAATATCTAGGGCCCATGAAACAAAGGCTGTTGTCTACTTGGAGTAAACATCCAGTTGATTCATTCAAGTCAGATTAATCATTGGCTAACCTAAGAAACAAAACAACCCAACAATTAATTAAAATTTAATGTGGAGACCTTTAATGATTTAGGAACAGAATATTAAGGATTATTAAATCATATGATTTATTTTTTCATAAATACATGTGCATGTAAAAGTACTGGGATAGAAATTAATGGTAATACATGCATAATAAGAAGGCACTTAGGGACTTTATTATAGAAATATAGTTCTTTTTTAGTAGTTCTATGGCCATAGGATATCTGGGTGAGATAGTCCATACTGGAGATCACTTACCAAAATACCAAACAGTCTTCATAAAGGAAATATTGTGTATAAAATAATCTGTCACTTTGTAACTTCAAGACATAGTTTATGTGAAATAGCCACATAACCATCTCTTCTATCCAAGAAAAAATATGGCTCACCTTTTTTAGTCACTTTCTAAATGTAAAACTCATTTTACTTTTTCATGTAGCTGCTGAGACCATACAACTTAGTAAGTTTGATATTACATTACATCCTTGTTTTGGGGAAAGTGAACTTTATATGAATGTGTAATTTATTAGTAATTAATGAAAGTAGAGAATCTGGCATCTTGGATGGTAATTAACATTTGTTCACAAGATTTAATTACCCAGCAACAGCTTGGTTTCTTCATAAACTATGACTTCAACTGATTGATCACTACTTTATAAATATCCTTACTTTACTCTTTTTTGCTAGAATGTGTGTAAAATTGGTAGGTGTAAAATATCTACTAACACTGGTTTTTAAGTATATAAAATTTCTTTCCCCTCTGTGCAATTATAAATTATCTTAAAAAATAGATTGTATTTGTTCTATAGTTTGTCATTCTTATAAGAGAGAAAGCTGTTAATTATGCATGCTAGAAAACAAAGGATTTTTTTTTCCTATCACAGATGGCAGTTGCAATTCCATATATTATGGCACTCTGTTTAAGAATCTAGATTTCTGATATGTTTATGTAACCAATCAAGGTAATTGCAATAATGCTCAGTGTTGCAGGTAAATAATGTAGGGCGGCAGGTTTGCAGGATTTTTTTTTTTTTGTAAAATAGTTTATATTGTTAGAAACTGGCAGCCACAGATATTTTTAAAATTATAAAATACGGATTTATCAAAATAAGTATTTTTCCTACTAGCATCTATAGCACTAAATATCATATTGTAAAATATAATGATATATATTACAGGTGATTTTTTAACAATACATTACCGATGGTTTGTTATGAAGTGATAAAAGTACATTCCGTACTTGTTCAGGGTAGGAAAAGATATCTCAACAAGTTTCTCACAAAAAAAATAGAGCAAGTCTTTCTTTGCAACAGGTTTCGGAAGCCTCATTGTGCAACACTTTTTCAACAGAAGAAAGAACTGTCTTATTAAATTGTTATGATGAAGAGCCACCTTCCATGGGAGAGATAGTTTCACATAGCAGTTGAGGTAGTAGACTCTGGAGCCAAGCTACCACTGTTCAGATCTCAGTTCTACTATTTACTAGCAACATATGCTTGGGCCAATTACTTAACTTTGTCTCTCAGTTTATCATTTATAAGATGGGTATCATCGTTAATGGCTACCACACAGTAGTATCAATCGGATTATGCCTATTTTTAGTCATACAAATAGCAGATTTGATAAAGATTTGTTTTTGGAGAATTAGGATGAAGACATTATTTTGAGGTATTTTTTAGTTATATCTCTATATTTGCAAATTTATGGTCCCTGGTATCATACAATCAGTTTTTTTTTTCTGTATTGAAAAATGATGGATAGTATAATTATATAAATTTAAAATAGGAAATATGTAATAAATGTTTTATCACCCTGAGTTTAAAATTCTTCAAAATACCTTCCTAAGAGCCACACTAGCTTTTTTAAGTGGAACTTAAAACACAAAGCCCTAGGGTAACAGATCTGCCTAATTCCATAGGCTGTTTTTTAGATACTTTAAAATTCAAGGTGCAGTAAACATCACTACCTCTACTCAAAGATAATTAAGAAAGCTGTGCATGAATTGGAAAGGTGGATCTCCATGCAAATTGACAGTAAGGCAGTCACGGGCAGTGAATTCTGGACTGTGCTGAGGTCCAATGATGACAGACTACTTCAACCTTAGTGGAAATGCAAATTTAAAAGCACATTCTAAAGTATTATATTTCTTAGTGAATGGATGCCTTCTGCTAAAATTTGGGAAACATTTGACAATCATTCAATGTCTCTGGACTTTATCCAAGAGAATATAAGTACCCCTCCTATATTAGGAAGACTTAATTTAAATACTGTGCGTCTTTTCGGAGTTAGTGAAGCAAGTTGCTCTAAGCATAAATGCCTGATAATAAGCACCTTCTAATAGAATCATTATTTGGTCAACTTTGCTCAAGTTCTGTGATAATTTGACATTTACATAGCTAATAGCCCTTTCAATGTGCATTGATAGTTTCATTAAATTTAATGACTTTGAATCAGTGATGAGAGGAAGAGCCTCAGAATCTTTGGGAAAAGGGTTACAATTACTTGTAACTCTTCCCCCTATTTGATGTTCTCTACTTTAAAACAGTTGCATGTTTTTAGACGCATTTTCTTCTGAAGGAATTTGTTGCCCATGCAAATAGTTGGAGACTCCACTCTATAACAAAAACATCTGGAGCATTCCTGCTCAAATGATTTTCTAAACACCAAACTTTCCCCTTGTGGATGGACCTTATGTAAAATTTCAAAATTCAGCACATATTCTACTCCATTTCTTTCTTTTCAGAGAGTTTTATCAATATTTAAAATTGTTTTTGATTCTCTAAAGGCCGTGTATCTTATTTATATTCAGTAATTGAGAAATTACCATGAAAGAAAGGCTAAAACATCTTGTCTTTGCAATTCCCAATTTATTATAAATTCAGTGTGTCCTATAGTTTAGTAACTACAAATGTATTTTTCATTTCAAAAATTCCTCCTAATGATTGAGTTTTGTGAATAGTTTACAAAATATAAATTAGTATGCCTCTAGAGTTACTGCAAGTAATATTAGTTTGAATCCTAGATCCTGGGAAGAGAGAGAAAGAATTTTTTTTTCTTTTCTTCTTCTTTTGCATATCAAATTAGCCAAAGTATATTTAGCCACCTCTAACCTTTTATGAACTAAATCCCCAAATCCCAGTGCTTTCTCCCTATAGTTACATGCCCATACCTTCCCTGAGGCCTCCTCCCTTCTCTGATCTAAGGATAGCACACAAATTCCAAGGCAAACTCAAAATGTTCTATAACCGAGAATCACTCACTTCCCCTCTCCAAATTCAAATATTCAAGCCCAAACTACTTATTCTAGATCTTTTTGCCATTTTTTCAAAGATGTTCATGTTTATTAAGCCAAATTAATCTCTAAATGGTGGAAATTTGGACAGTGTTGCTTGAACAACTTTAAGCAATGATATAAAAGTATTTGGAGGCAGGGACTACAAACAGGTAGATAAGCAAACATCAGGAGCCTGCTTCTAGGGTACAAAAATTATATACTTCAGACCTGAATAGTGTCTTTCCTTTTTACAAACTCCAAAGTAGAATGCTTTTGTTTGTTTTCATGAAATCTTTCTCACCAGCAGTGAAGGACTAGGGAAACACTGGTAATGTAAGCATTTGTCAGTCAAGGATATTATTTTTCTTCTTCAAGAATGTATTCACCCACTCAATAAACATTACAAATTTTTCAAAGGTTCTCCCTCCATGGTCAAATTAATGAAAATATGTGTGAATTGGAAAACTTTATTTCATAGTTTTATTTTGAAAATCTTTATAACACCATTTAAAGTTGTCAGAAAATATAAACACACAAAAAGTCGATAGATGCACAAAAAGACTTGAAAAAATGTTGATCTGTGTTTTCATACACTTCAAAACCAGTACTTTAAAGACAAAACAATAAGTCAGTTTTGATCTTTATAAAGAATTGCTGGTTAATTTATTTCTCTTTAAGACTAACGGATGAAGTCTGTTTGTTCAACAGCACATTGAAATGCATTTCAAAACAATATATTTGGTTCTAATTAAAACATGGAAAAAAAATCACAGAATTCTTTTTCTTCCTGGAGCATTCTCACATCCATTGTGATATTTGCAGCCTTTGCAGCTGATGTATATTTCCTAAGAAAAGCTTATGCTAGGTTGGCAGATGTGCATTCTGAAAACTGCCCAAGTTTGAGATGAACTCTCACTGCCTAAAAGGGCACATAAATACTGGTTCTTGTCATTCTCTTCCTTATAGATGAAAAGTCAGTGCTTCATCTTTCAAGAACACCTGTATTGAAGTGGATCTCTTGCAAAATTCCATGAAGAACATGTTCCAATGCTCAACTCCCTCAGTAATGACAAAAAATGACAAAAAAAGAAAAAAAAATGATTTCTGTACTATGTGGACCAACCGAAATATAAATGTGAAGAACTTACTTGTGCTGATATGATCAGACTTGCTGCTCTTTGGGGCTGGCCTCTCACATTGTGTGCCTGACCAGTTGGTGGAGCATCTAAAAAGATCCAAACAACAAAAAAGGTGTGAATAATAAAACCCACGAGTCTGCTAATATTGTAACTTCAACCAAATGAAATGTTGTAAGAGCCAGTCACATAGATTCATGAATATTAGGTAGAGATTTCTGCTAATTTCCTGCATATTGTCAGTATGCTGAGGGTAACTTCAATTGAACTTCACTTGTTGAAATACTTTTTAAAGTTTATGCTTACAGTAATTTCTCCTTATTCTGTGTTAAAATTGGCACACTTTACAGAAATATTGAACTATTGATTCAGAAATGGAAACTAATTTGAGAATTACTGAAAATTATAAGTAGCCACTTACAAAAACTGAGTTTGCATATTAAGCAAATCCTTCTTCATTAAGTTTCTGTAATTTGTTTTGTGGGTTGTTCTCAGTCCAAAGTGGAACTAACTCCCAAAACAGCAAATGGTGATCTGTATCATAGTTCAAGCTGCAGAATTTTTACTCTCGTAATCAGAGATAAGAAAATACAGTGCTTTCCCATTTTAAATCATACTTCTATTACAACAAAGTCAATAGAACGTGCCCAAGTTTTTATTGGGAAAAGTTGTTTTCACCAAATAGGTATCATGACACTATGATGAGAGGTAGAAACAATAAGAATAATAGATCTGATTCAAATCCATTCTTTAAACATAAATCACAACTATATAATTAAATGGTTGCATCAAAATCAATGCTGGAATAATTTTAGCTGTGTTTAAACAATGTCCGTTGGCTAACACAAGATGCTTCTGTGCATCTGTCAGAGGAAATCCACAGAGAAACAACTTAATTGGCTTCGGTTCTCATTTAAAATGACTGTCAAATACCACCATATCAAGAATAGTTGTACACAATAAAGAATAGCTTCCAGAACCATTCTGAGTGGATCTCTCTGGGCATGGTGGGCCAAGCTAAATAACTGCAATTTCAAAGTCTTGCCAGTTCTGTCATAGCCAATTCTTATAGCTGGAGCTGTTTTCTGAACTAGGTTTCTATGATGCCATGTGAATTATCTATAATATTTGTAAAGATAGTATTGGCTGTCCAAAAACATGGGCAAATTCTCATAACATCATCATTACTGATAAAGTCAAATCATCAGCATAAAAAATTCTTTCAAAAAAGCATATATTAACTTAAGCATAATTGACAATGTTACTAAGAATATAGTTATTTAATTAATAATGATAAATTCAAACTATGAATATGGAGCATGATTCAAATGAAAATATCATTATTTATGTTATGATTCAGGTCATCACTCATGCATCAGCTCAACTTTTCGTTCAGTTAACTCATTGAAAGCTTACATATTATATAATATAATTTTCTATGTATCATATTTATTATAAACCATCCTCCAAGGAAATCATTAAAATGCATAAACACAGTTTAAGTCCAGGTCTATGACTGTCTGTGTTACTGAAGTGAGGTGATGGAATGAGCACATTTTCAAATAATTAGAATAAAGTAAACAACCAATAAAACAAGCGATTTTTAAAAATATTTGTTTCTTTGTCATTTGTGGTTTTTGCAGATGAATGATCTAGAAAATTGTTCCAATTCTTCACAGATTATAATTGTTGACACAGTCCACAGATAATTCAAAATAAGATGTTTAGGAACATTTTGCAAACGCGTCTTTGGAGTGAATTCTAATGATTGCAAAATTCTTCTTGTCTTAGGTAGCTTTACATCTGTCAAATCCTCCTAATCGACCATTGAGAATGTTTTCTATGCTTCAGTTAAAAACTAATACTGACTGTTCAGTAATTTCATTATAAAACTGACGCGTACAAGGCTACATATGTGCAATTATATTGAATTATTGAGTAAAATACCAAAATTTGCTCTTTACATTACCTAATTTAAAGAAAAAAAAAAATCATGGTTCATCTTAAATAAGAGGAATGACCCAAGGTATATTCTGCTGTGTTAGTGGAGATATGAACCTCCAGGGCTCATCATTACATTGACATGCTTTGAAGCCAGAAAATTGAATTGCTCAGGAATTGAATTAAATGCAAATTGGCACTGTTTTGTTCTGACATGACCATTACGTATATTAAATAATATAGAAAGTTATGAAAAATATGCTTTCAGAGCTCCAGAGAGATATTTTTAAACAAAGAGGATAAGGATAGTGTGGTTCTTATTGCAAACTCTGAAATTGTTTAAGCAGGATAAGTGGTGTTTGTTAATAGTATGGCATAATTTCCTAATTTATCCATGGCTTGGAACCCAGTATTTATGATAGATGAAAGAAGTCACCTGCTTGTGGTCATAATCCTCTTCTATTTTAAATTGTAGGAACACATTTAAATTCCTAATCTTTATGGAATGTTTTACTTATTACCTACTGAAAAAACCTCTCAAAAACTGTACTGGAGAAATAATTAATTTTAACAGTTATACGTCTTAATCAACTGATGATCACCTTGCAATTCTCCCTGTACTCCTTATAAAATAATGTTTTATGGCCAAAGATAAAATATGTTCCACTGTTTTGCATTTGTCTCAATCTTAAAAAAATCTCCTTTCTATTAAATCAAATAGAAATCATCATTCTTATTACTACCTCACAAAATCACAAGTTAAGGTATTTGCTGCTCCACAGGTTCTTCTAATGGTTGATTTAAGATCAAGTATTTTTATCGTCTTTATAGAAATTAATAAATCTTCATACTCTGAGTAGATTACAATGATCAAAGCCATTAATGGCAGAGCATTTAAGAATAGGAATGTGTGCAGATCATCGAAATTTCCTGTACAATTCGCCACTGAATTATTTGCATAACCATGCAGATTATAGTTTCTCTGTCATCTGCCTTTCTTTCATCATTCCTTAAGCAAAATCCGTAGTCCATGCTCTGGCCATCTGTGATTTGTACTGCTGCAATCCACTGCTCCTTCCTATCATCAAGGGACAATTTTCTCTCTCTCTCTCTCTCTTTTTTTTTCATTTTGTTTTTTGAGACAGAGTCTCACTCTGTTGCCCGGGCTAGAGTGCAGTGGCATCAGCCTAGCTCACAGCAACCTCACACTCCTGGGCTCAAGTGATCCTCCTCCTCAGCCTCCCCAGTAGCTGGGACTACAGGTGTGCACCACCATGCCCGGTTAATTTTTTCTGTTTTTGGTAGAAACTGTGTCTTGCTCTTGCTCAGGCTGGTCTCGAACTCCTGAGCTCAAGCAATCCTCCAGCCTCGGCCTCCCAGAGTGCTAGGCATGAGCCACAGTCTCCAGCCTGATAATTTTCAAGTTAGTGCTCCACGGCCTACTCAACCATTTTATTTTTCTCACCATCATGAAAACCTGTGTATCATTCATTTCCCTTAACCTTGGGGTAATGAAAATAAGCTTCATCTTATGTGCTGATCACTATACTACTGTGTATTATTTAACTTTTTAAACACTTCCATGAATTTTAACTAAGCACTGTTGTATCAGGGATGGATAGATAGATAAATATTAATAGATAGATTCCTATTTATTTAGTGAAATAATCATTCATTCTTCTTTCTTTATATCATCAAATAAAGTTACTGCTCTTAGCAGTTTCCTGCAGTCAGTAGCTGCCTGGTAAATGGTTACTGATTTAACATTCTTTGACATCTTCCCTTCTTTCCTAGACCATTGATATTGATAAGAAAGATTATTTACTACTACATGGTTTTCTTAATCTTATTATTTCATTTCTGTAATAGCTGCATGTATAAAATGCTCTAAACTAGAGAATTTTTTAAGTGGTTTGGGGTTATAGCCAGGAATCTATATTTTAACAAAGTGAATGTGATTAAAGTAATTCACATATCCCACTTCAAAAAATATTTGATATAAATTATTACTATATTCCCACAGACTTTGTTTTTAAACCAAACGTTACTTACTCATTTCTTTATTATTACAGGTCAAGAATGATTACTCCAAAGATTAAATAACCTAAGTAGAAGTATTTACATAGTCTGTGAGTTTATTTATTTATTTATTTATTTATTTTTGTAATTACTTCTCATCTGAATGTTGCTATATGAAACACATGGTTAGCAAATTCATCCTGTCCCTTAACAGTGTGTGAAATTATTGTATAGCTACAATATTTTTTGTTTCAATTATCATTTTCTGTAGCAGAGGGGAATCTCCTTGTAAAAAGGTAATAGTATACAGATATTACTAGAAAGCACAATAAACACTTTTGGAATACCAAAATAAGTTCTGCATTTATAACGGGAAAAATAAAATCTTTAAAATAGAAGTTATTACATTTAATAGCACAGCTATAAGATATATGATTAATTTGTCAAAAATAATGATAGTTCTGAAGTAGTAGAGTGATTATTACTCAGAGAATTAAAATCAGATATAAAATACTGAAGGTATATTACAATTTTTAGGTATTATCTTTCACTGTAACAATGATCAATTTATATGAACTACTCCTGTCATTTTGCAAAAGTGTTGGTCTAGAGTCACCCACTTTGGGAGGACTTCAAAATAAAATAATGAGATTAATAGCTGCTCCCACTTTTCATCAAATTTAAAGGTCATGGACTCTTCTGACCACAGTGAAATTCAAAGGTGAACCTTAAAGCAACTTGAAATTGGATTTCTTCTCTTATGTATATGTGCAAGGCTGCCCTTATTAAACATGATGATGGAAGCATTCAGAAAGAAAAATCTTTTAATATAACCTTTTCTTTCACCATACAGGAAAGATAATGGCACAACAAGATTAAAGAAGCCTTGGAAAAATTGTGCATGGTGTCATGCATGTCTCAGTGCTCCTAAAATCTCATTCAATAATAAATAAAAATATGATTACATTTATGCATCAGATTTATGCTAAAGTATTTTAATTTAGTGAAGAAAATTAGAAAAAGTAAAAATTACATGCAAAATGCATTTTTTTCTGATTAATTCTCCAAATTTCACTCTTCTGATATTGAGAATATGACTATATTTACATAATATTCCTCATATGAAAGC